TAGAAGATCTACATGGCAATAAAATGGACTTAATATTCTACCAATTAAATCTATCTAAAATTTTACCCGTCACACCGCAAAATGGAATTTTTAAAAAAAATATTAAAGCATCAACTTTTTTAGGAATAGATCCAAATTGTAATAATTTAGCTTAATAGTTTATAATAATATTTATGAATTTAATTTTTAGTTTTTAAAGTATAGTATTAAAGTGAAAATTTATAATATTTAAAACTTATTAATTGCTTTTTTTTAATTATGAATGTAAAATTCAATAAAATTAAATTTTGAACAATATGTTATTAATAAGAAAATTAATCAAATATATATTAAAGATATATAAAATTAAAGACTCATATAGGATTAATTACATAAAATAATGTATATATAGATTCAATAAGCTTGAATATCTTGAAATATTTATCTTTAATTTTCTAATTATTGTTTTATTATTATATAGTTAAGCAATTTTATATATTAATTTCAAAAAATATGATTTAATTGTATAATATAAATATTACGTGATTTAAAAAATGCATGTTTCTTTTGAAAATATTTTTATTATATATAAACTTATATTTTTTTAAAAGTTATTTACTTAATATAGCAGGTGGTGATTATCACTGATATCATATGATTAGATTTGTTATATGATATTTATGTTTTATTTATCATTAGTTTCATATAATTAGAAATTGTCACGTGATTTTATATAAATTTGTAATGTAATTTATTGTTTTATCATAACTTATTGTTCATATTTATTGTTTTAAATATTTTTTGATGAATGTTAATTTTTTCATTTTCTTTATAAATTTATATTTTAATACACTCTTATACTCTTTAATTTTCACTTATTTTTATAACTTTATTATGAATAATAATAATACAAACATTTTTGATAACCAATAGCAATTAAATAATAAAAATATTAGTTCTATTTCTTTAATAATAGCTGATATCAAAGTTGATACTTTTTTCTTTACATGGAAAGATGCAGAAATTAAACTTAATCAATATGCAAAAATTTGTAGGCTTTTTTTAAGAAGAAAATGCGTTGAAGTTGATAAAGATGATGGAGTTATGTAATGTAGAACTTATGAAAATAGTTTTCTGGTAAACCAATTTCTAATCAAGTTATTAATATAATTCATCAGTGTAAAAAACCATCTAGAAAAATTATATATCTATAACATATAAATCTTATTAAATCTAAATCATCAATATAAATATGCATTACAAGTATTATTAGTCAGCATAATCATGCTATGGTAGCTAATGCAAATTTATATATTTCTAATATTATAAGTTATTAGAATATATAATAGATAAAATTAAATTTTGTGTTACTAAAAGAAATATGAAAGCAAAACAAATCTATCTATTATTAGTTACAGGTTTTCCTGATCAGTATATTCATAAAAGAGATTTTTATAATATGATTCAAAAATTTAAATTACCACTTACCAATCAATATAAAAATGCATAAAATATGATCAATAAATTATTTAAGATCAAAAACTTGAATAGATATTTACATAAGACTTGATTCTTTTAATAATTGACTTATAGAATTATTTTAGATATCACCTAATTAGCATTAATATCTTTTACAATATAATGATATTATATAAACAGATAATACATATTGAACTAATTAGTTTGATATGTATTTAACATTTATAGTTATAGTTAATAATAATATTAAAAGTTGTCTTATTGCTTAATGTCTATTAGAAGATGAGATAGCCGAAAGTTATGATGAGTAGTTTCTTAGTTATTTTTTTCAAGCAACTAATAATAATTTACCTCTTTATATATTCTCGAATACCAATCCTGCTTTATTAAATGCAATAGTGTCAAAATTACCTGAAACTCAACATTTTCTTTGTATTTTTTATATTCAAGAAAATTTACAAAAGAATTTAGCAGGTAAATTAAAGTGAGAATATTAATCATTTTATAAAGAATTTTTACATATCTGAAATAGATTATTTTTGGATAATTTTTATTATCGTTAGATCAAAAAATATCTCAAACTTAAGAATATCTTAATTGGACTTTAAATAATTATTGTTAAACATGAGACAAAATGCTACTAAATCAAGTAATTTACTACTGGTATTTAGAGCATCTAAAGAGTTAAAGTTATGAATCATTTGATTAAAAAAGACACTAGTAGTACTTCATCACTTTGTAATTTGCATGAACAAATTCAAAAGTTATTAGATAATGAAGTACAGTGAGTTCATCATAATGTATATTTTCAAAGTCTTCTAACTAATCAAGTACTTTCAATAATTGAGCCTATATTTCTTAAGGTTGTTGAATTAATGAAAAAATACTTAACTCCACATATTTTATCAATTCAACAATAATAAATACTTAGTTCTTTATTATATTATACTAGAATTATTTCTAAAGATTCTATTGAAATAGTAAAAGTATAAAACTTTAAAATTTAATGTTAAACTTTAATTATGCATTAAAAAAAATTTAAAAAAAGCTACTAATGTCATACGATATATATAAATTTATTAATTAGTTTATCAATTTCTTAAATAGGATGATGATCAATGCAATTATGATGAAGAATTATTGAAGATTAACTAAATAGACCGCAAATTACTTTCTTTTTTTTGTTAGAAGAAATATAACTTTCTGATATTATAAAAATCTGAAAACTCTATAACATTATTAAATCTTACAAATATTATATTATTTTATTAATAGGTAGTAGTCATTTATATACTTGCTTAGCTATAATTAACTGTGGACTTGTATGTTCATATTTTTTCAAGTTATGATGAATTCTAAAGTGGCTAAATTCAATATTGGTCTTATTATCATGTGATAGTATATAGAAAATATACAAGATCAATGTAATCAAATAATATAGAATAAAAATATCAGAGTTATAATACAATTTTAACAAAATAATGATAAAATTTTAATAATAAATTTACACATTTTTAATTAGATTAGAATACTAAAAGCATTCACAACTGATGTTAAACAATGTTTATAGAGGAAAGTTAAATATGCACATAGATTTAAAATATGAAAAAAGCTCTTAACTTAGCACTTGATTTGGAATGTGAAGATGAAATTATTAATATGATTAATGGATTTATTGACCAAAAGAGAAGCACAATTAATGATATAAATAATGAAAATGAAAATATGCATATTTTGGATCCTGTGGTTCAGAAATGACATGAACATCTACTAAATAAATGTATTAAATCAGCTTCATCATGTTATGTCAACACAAAAAATAGTGCAATTAATCCATCTGATCCTAATTTATATGTATGTGAAGTGCAACATTTTTAGTAAACATCTTCATCAAAAATGCTTTGTAGTACACTTAATAATAATGCTAATACCCGTGATTTTTGTATACAAAGATATCAAAATGGAAAGCATATATATGTAAAGTTTGTAGACAACCTGATTACAATGCTAGGACATTTAATAAACAAACTAATGAAATATAGGCGGCATTAAAATTTAATTAGTATAATATTGATAAATTTTAGTTTATTGTCTTTATTAAAAAAAAATTTAATAAAATAATATATTTTTGATTGTGAAAAATTTTGAAGTCACATGATTTATTAATATCACATGACACTGGTGATATTAACCATCAGTTATAGTTATAAAAAAAATTTGATTCTATAATCTCAAATAAATAAAATAGTTAAAAATTTTTACAAAATATACAATATTGACTGAATGACTAAAACTATTTGTCATTTAAGTATGAAATAACAAATAACAAATGACATGTCATTTGAATCATTTGTGATTTCAAGTTATTTGCCTAACACTAATTATTAGTACGATTACAAAAAATATCAGTTATAAATTTCATGGTTACTAACGTTATAAAATAATTACAATTTTTCGTTATTAATCAAATTTTTTTTACTATTTAAAAGTATTGAAAATTTATAATTGAGAGAATGAAAAATTTACAATCTTAACAATTATTTACAAAAAATCAGATTTATTCTAAATCGTAAATAAAATGATATATTAAGTATTACGGTAGATTTTGATATAAATAGGCTGCTGAAAATAATTTACAAAACCAAAAAGAAAATTTTTAATGAAAACTTCTAACATTTAACGCTTTATAAATTCATATAATCTTCATTATAAACAATAGTAATTAAAAAAAATAACTTTCAAATTGTCTGTGTATGCAAAGTTAATAAATATATTATTCTATAATTCAAAAACATAGGAACGTTATATAGAAGGTTAAAGATTTAGGCAATTGTATAATAATTCGATTTTAGCAGTGTCATTGCGTTATTTAAAAATTTAGGTCTGATACTCGTTAAGGAATTTGGTAAATTTGGTAAGCTATTTATTTGAGTATTATAACAATAAAGTTCCGCTAAGGAGTTGGGTAAAGTTGGTAAGGTATTTATTTAAGTTTCATAGGAATTTGGTAAAGTTGATAAGCTATTTATTTTAGTGCTATAACATTTGAGTATCGTTAAGGAGTTGGATAACGTTGGTAGGATAGTTATTGAAGTATAGGAGCAATCAAGTTCCGTTAAGGAGTCGGGTAAAGTTGGTAGGATAGTAATTGGATTATTATTACAATAAAGTTTCGTTAAGGAGTTGGTAAGCTGATTATTTCAGTTTTATTGAATCGTAGTTTAGTTAATTTTCGATATCTTTGTAATCCACCAAAGGCGTTTAATATGTTATTCTTATTAAGATCCATTATCATCATAAATCATATCTGAATTTAATTCTGATTAAAACTTTGAGATAATTCCTCATTTAATGAATAAATTTGTGATTATTCCGATCCGATAATGATTCATAATTTGCCTGATCAAAATTTTGAATAATTTGAGATAAATTTCCATGTGATGTATTAGAAGAATAAAGTTGTAATTCTGGTGATTCATAATTAATCGTTTGATTATCTACTGTTAAGTTTGATATCGTAACAATTGCATTCAATTTTTCAACCACTTGATTCATTAATAGACGATTATCTGAATAATTATCCCAACATTCTGAAAACGTAGAAACTTATTAATAAAAAACATTGAAATCGTAATTTAAAGTTGATATTTTTAATATATTTACCGGTATAAATTTTCGTATAGTCTTTAGGTGTACCAGGAATGAACTTTTCCCTAAGTCCTTGTTAAATTTCTATAGCTAAACTAATGTCATATTGCTCGCCTTCAACATAAAAAGGAGGATTACCGCTTGATATCTCCCAAAAAAGCATGCCAACACTGTAAACGTCACTCTTTTCATTTAGTTTAAATTGTGATGATGTATTGTCACCTCTTCGTCTATAAAAACATTTTAGATCAACATAAGGAATAACTCCAAAAACTTTTGACTGATTGGTTGATAATTCAATTCTTTTGATAATCCAAAATCAGCTAGTTTAATAATCTCTTGACGAATTAATATATTGTCAGAATGCTATTATAAATATACATATGTATACTGTAGTACATAAAATTTTATTCTTAATAATTAATAACAATATAATTATAAACAAAAAAAAAATGTATATTATTCAAGATTACCAAATTACGATGAATAATTCCTTCCTCATGTAAACATGATATAATACAAGCTAATTGAAATGCAAAGTTGTATTTATCTTCCCAAGTAAGTTTATCAAAATTTTTCTTCAAATAATTTCCAAGTGCTCCGCCATCAGCATACTCGATTACTAACCAATACTTTGTCAATTGATTTTCTAATTTTTTTTTTTTAAAAATAAAAAAAATAAAATATAAACATATATAAAAATGATTTAAAAGCAAAATTAAAATTCGATATATAAACTTATTATGAAAATTTACCTTGAATAGAAGTGATTTCACAAAAGCTGATAATAATATTATCATGAAAATTAACTTCACGTTGAAGTTCAAGCTAAATTATAAAAATTTTAACTTTATACATAATTGACTTTATAATAAAAAGACAAAATATATATTTCGATTTATTTTTACCTCACGAACAAGTTCTTTCACAGTGGCATTATTAAAGTTATAAAACGATTTTAACGCGAGAATTTGCTTTAAGCT